CACAAGTGCTAAAGTTGCATCTTTGATGCTATTGTTATGACTAAAACTTTAATGATGAAATCGTTCATGTTGAAGCAGTCAATATACTCTTGTTTAATAATAAGTTTTATTGGAAATAATACCAAAAAATTACAAATAGAATACATGAATAAATACAATCTTAAATAAATATAACATAACTGCATTAAATTCAATTAAATTAAATAAAATAAAATTAAATTATATAGCACTATTTATGTTGTTGTTTTAAAAAATGTTAAGAAGAGATAATAATTAGAATATCGATAAAAAATATTTAAATGTAAGACGGGACTTAAACATTGCATTAAATTAAGAATATGATTCCACTATGTGATAACAAGACATATCTTTTGTTTTTAACGACAGGATTTTCCTAAGAGAGTGGAACAAAAAAATCTAATTCAATTATTTTAGTTGGTTGTACAAATGTTGACAGAAATTATTCCTTAAAGTAATTAAAATGGCAAATTGAAATGAAAGTTAGAAAATTAACGTTGAATTAAAACGTTTAAGTTTGATTCATTGAAAATAATTTGCTCTTTCGCATTTAAAATTCTTTTTCCTACTTTTCACTAGTTGTGAAAACAGTTGCAATTGCGACTCATTCATGCGTTTATGGTAAAAGTTTATTTTTAACCGTTGCTTTAACCTTTTAGTATCGCCTTAATTTGCAAGAGGACTTATGTGTGGAGGAACAAATTCTATCCGCTGGAGCTGTCACAATGCACTTGAGAATCTAAGCGTGAAATACGATTAAAGTTTCTGGAAACTAATGATTTAAAATACTTTTTCTAACATTCGAGGGGGAAGTTCCACTACATGGAACTTAAGTGTTCCACTTAAGTGCTGTTGCATATGGAACAGAATGAAGTTTAAGTGGCTGAACTTGAATTCAACTGCATTATAGAAGTACTGATTTAAAAAAACTTTTATCATCATTAACTACTTCTGTTACTCAGGTTTTTAAATTTTTAGCTTTTGTTGTTTTTCAGATTTATTTTAGATTTTGATATTGACTTCCATAGTATGACGTCCGGAAAAATTTTCTAAAAAGTTATGTGTTTATACGCGCATAAAGGGATGAAAGCGAAAACATCGTTGAAATGCATATATGATTTTATATTCTTGTATATCTGTTGTTTTTTTTGAGGTGTGTTTAAAAAATTGTCGAAATATTTGATGTGTAATGGCAAGCGAAAACATTGTCCGCTGTCGGTGGGCGATGCTGTGTAATGGGCCCTTACCAAACTTTATAGTAAACTGAGCGAACGAACGAAAATTTGTAATGCGGTCTAAACGATGAAGCAAATGCGAACGAACTCATTTGTAGAGTTTGCTAGTGTTCCGCTGCATTTGCGTTTGCTGTAAAATTTGTATCAATTCGTTCGTTTGTTCGATTGCATTTGCTGTTAAATGTGGGCCAATATTTTGTATGAAAAGAAATATTTGTTTGTGTTCGTGAATGTTCGCCTGTCGATGGAACAATAAACGAAAGTGTGCCAACATATTCTATGTTATTCTATGTTATTATTAAGTATTTTATAATTTTCATAAAGTGTTGGTTATTATGATAATATTTTAATGACTATGGTTTCTCTCGATCATTATAATAAAAAAAAAAACTAATTTTTTAATTGCAAAGTCCATTTAGCACGCTATTTCAAGAAAAGTTTCTATATCGGTATTATTAATTGTAACGTCTGATATTTGAGTAAATGTTTTTTCGAGAGGGGCCCCAAACTCAAGTGTTATTGGCGTTTTAGGTATTTTGTTGCTTTCTATATTTTCTGTTGTCCATTATTAAGTGTGTTAGGGCTTCTTTAAAAATTAGCACAAGTCTGGTCTTTATGATATTCTATTTTATTTTACAGATTTCTTGTAGCTCTATTTAGATTTCTCTTTGCTGTACCGCTTCTGTTTGCCTAACAAATTCTACGCAATTTATTTTTTTCTTTGATGAGTTTTTTTATGTCAGTGGGGAGGAAATATGTATCCACTGTTTGTTGCTCATTATATCTATGTGTACAATGAAAGCTTGCCTCGTTAGAGTCTCAACGGCCCCATCTATATATGTACAAGATTTTAGTGAAATGTTCATGTTTAATTTATTATCTAGCCAGTATTGAAAGAAAGCTATATCAGTTTTAGGGGAGATTATATTGCGTTTAGTGGGTATTGTCGAACATAAGGAGTTGTAGTTGATTATTAGTGTTGAATGGTCGAAACTTAGTTCATCGTTGTCAACAATATTTAACAGGGTGTTAGATATAGCGTTGGCGTTGTACACTACAACATCAGCAGGATCTGCTAGCCAGTAGTTGCGTCGGCCAGTTGATGTGTCTTTTTATTTTTTATTTGTAATGCACTTGTAGAGTTCGACTCCTTTTGGATTCGTTAATCTTATCCAATGTAAAAACTGAAATCACCTCATTTTGCCAGTAAGACAGTAATACACACTAATCTCACAAAGTAGAGGAAGGAAAACTTTTTAATA